AGGCATGTCCACAGACTGTTGCGTGGGATCCGGTCATACGCTCTCTCTAGGTCCACAAAACACATGTACAACGGCTGGGCGTACTCCCACGATTTCTCAACAATCAGGCGCAGGGCAAATATATGGTCAGAGGTACTTCGACCTGGCCAGACGCCACACTGCTCTTCTTGGATCTTGACGTCAACTATTTCACGGCACCTCCTTTCTATCACCATTGCATAGACTTTACCTGTGAGGCTCAATAACGCTATGCCCCTATAATTGGAGGGGTCTCCCTTCTTGAGTACGGGTACACTAGCTCCCGTTCTCCAGTTCGCTGGTGTCTTTCCCGCGGTCATCGCAGTTTGACAGACACGTGTAAGCCAGCACATACCTTGTTCGCCTAATGCCTTGAGCATCTCAGGGCAGATTTCATCATTTCCAGCAGCCTTTCCATTTTCAAGCTTTTCTCTGCTTCTGTGAATTAATCTGCAAAAATAGTAATGTCCATTCCCTGCTGCTCCAGAGGCTAGTCTTCCTGCGGTTGCTCAGGTTAAGAAGTTCTTCAGAGTACTTCCTCCATCGCTGAAGGATGTCATCCTCCTTAGTAAGAGGGTGTGACCTGTCGTTCAAGACTCTGACCGCCCTTCTTATCACATCAGAGCCGGCGAATTGTCTGCCAGAATACCTTGTATGGTGTGTGCAAATTCGACTCCAACACATCACCGAACTTTTCTCAGGAATCAGCTTTGGCTTTCGCCACTACTTTCAATGCCGCCAAAAGGCGTGTAGAAGGTTCTTTGTTTCCAAGCCATTTCTTGAACGCTGCTTTCTTCTCTTTAACTGCCAGTTGTACCACTGGTGTCCACCATGAAGATCTTCTCTGACCTCTAAGCAAGGGACAGACCAACCCGTTTAAACCAGCAGCATTCGGCGGCAGCCTTGAATAAGGCCTAAAGAGCCACGCGGTTTCTACATCGGTGGTCATCACCGGGATCTGTTGAAACCGTCGTGCAATGTGGTTTGCAAATTTCGCTGTCGTGTGCACCGAAGACAATGTTTCCCATTTGATTCTCTGGTTGCTTCTGCCACCAGATCTTCGTATGGTGCTCCATTTCTTAGAGCGCAGCGTGCCAACAAGAAGGTGATGATCGGTTGATAGCTCTGCACCTCTTTTAACACGAACATCCATTGCTGAACGTCTTAGGTCAAAGGATACGATTATCAAATCGACGATGGACTTGTGTGCACAATCTTCCCAGTACCAGGTATGCTAAGGCAGTCTTCTATGCTCGTAGAAAGTGTTCATGATGGACAGTCCGTTGTTTGCAAAACCGCAGCAACTTTTTGCCGTTATTTATGAGGTCGCTAGGGCCGTTCTTCCCAGTCATGCCTTTTCCCTTCTTTTGTAGGTGTGTTCAGACATGCGCATTAAAATCGCCCATGAGGGTGAGGGAGTCCGCATTCGGTATCTCGTACGGAGCATACTCTAGTTGCCCAAGGATTGATTCGTATTCTCCCTCTAATTTGGACACATAGCCGTGTAAAATGGTGAATGCTTTAACCTGTTGTCGCCTCGGTCGGGGAATTGCCACCCTTCTGCTGATAGGCTTCCATTCAATGATTCTCTAATCCAGAAGAACATCGGCCTGAGCCGGTCTAGATGTCTAAACCTAAATAAAATAGCTTCCTCCGAGAGAGGTTCAGGATTCCAGA